GGCGGGGGTGGATGGGGTGTGTAACCTTGTGCGGCAGGTGGAGGAGGACCTATAGGATAGGTATCTGTCAGCCGGGTTTGGAAGCGAAGGGATGCCGAGTATGATACGAACCTTGACCACCCGCAGCCATACCGTAGGGATAGGGCGTGTTTTGAGCGTACTGCGGCTGGCCAGGGGACAGGTAGTAAGGTTGCGCTCCAGGAGTCTGAGGAGGATACCCCATCAGAGGCGGCATCGGCTGAGATCCCTTTTGATAGGGTACTCATTCAGCGCTGCTCGCTGCGAAGTTGAGGGCACAAACCTCAGGTGGAGACATCGGGATGACCGGAGGCTGCACCGGCTGCAGAGGCCTGTCCGAGTGCAGCGGGGAAGGGATGAACGGACTAGTATCGCTCATAGTGTCCCGATACTAGTACACCGTCGTTAGTTCGGATCACGTTTGGGCGGGGTAAGCGCGCTCTCACTATCGATGATCTGTGAGTCGTATGGGATGCTGGAACGATGTATTGAGAATACAAGCGTAACAAAAGTATGATAGGCACGTACAAGAGTTGTATGGTATCAGTCTTCAAGCAGTAACAGAGGGCACCGATCTTGCAGTCGAGTCGCAATCAGGTATGCAAACCAGACTTCGGAAGATCGCGCGTGAGTCAAGCACAGCACCACTACAGCACTCTCCGATCCAAGCACAACAGCAGCTTAGGCTCTGATATTGAGGACACAGCTCGGCACGGTACGAGATGGGAGTTGCAGGCGAGAGCCGAATCTCCCAAATCGCGGACACGAGGCAACAACATGGCGGGCGATGTTGAGTTTGTCCGAGTGGGCGCTTGATTCTCAAGACGCAGCGGCCCGGTTCCGCGATCGATGCGTTATCGTACTCTGACGTTACGCTCAGTTACATGGGCACAGGGTTGTGAGGATTCGATATGTAGGAGGCAGCGATTGGGATATGTGTATGTACAGGAGAGACCGTGTGAAGATACAAAGCGCGAAGAGCGAGTACTCGGTACAGCAAGCGAAAGGCGTAGTCGTGCAGCATGCAAGGAAGCGAGGTAGATACAAGGGGTAGGCTCAGTACGATGCGAGGCGCATGACGAAGACGTTGGGAGCCGAGAAGCCAAGGCGCGACTCCGCGTACTGAGGGTTGTGTGAGATGTTATCGAACATGTGTCGGTCGCGCAGCCAGTCTATTCTCAGCGTGAGCAAAGGCGCTTGTTATGAGGTATGATGAGAGTTCAGACGTACGGACGCGCTTGAGTACGGCTGGTTGCGGGCTATAGATCATGTTGTACGAGTTCTGGGTAGTCGCGAAACGCTTGATCGTCTCCTGTACTCGCGGCGGGCACGCCTGTATCTCGTTGTCCCCGATAGCATTCTCTAGATAGCTACACGTCCGTCAGCTAAGAGAATCCGGTACGATGAAGGGGAATAAACGCACTCGCGTGTCAAAGCAGTGGTGACGTCGCTCAGTGTGACACCAGCGGGGTTCAATACCGTTGTACACCAGGGACTCTGATCGGTGATTATATAGAGTTTCTCTACGCGAGGGAGTGTGGCGGGCTCGTTTGCGTGGATGAACTCGAGCAGACGGTCGGCAGATTCAGTATTGTAACCCCCAACCTGCCCTGGACGTCACGATCCCCCATCGATCAGCTCGTAGCACGCTATCCATGCAAAGTTGCACACCTGTGGAGAGGTCAAACTGGAGGGAGAATCCCCCTGGTGCGGAATCACTGCGAGCGAGGATGGGATGGATCTGTAACGTGGGCTTGAGAAGGTATAGATCGGTTTGTCCGAGAACCGGGCCATCTATACGAGCTGTCAGGCAAGAAGACATACGAAAGAATGTAGGAGGTACGAACATGCTGGCCCAGCAGTCCATCGGTTCACACGAGTTCCGTCTTGGTTCATGGTGGTGGCGGCGAGAGATGAGGAGCACGACACGAACACGAGGCAAGGCTTGATCGGCCCGATCATGGCTTTTAGCGCCCACACGCGCCGTCAGGCACCCGAGACACGGTTCTTTTGAGCCGTGGAAGAACTCATGTGACCGTATACGATTTTGGCGCGTCGCCGTCGCGTCTCGTCGCGTCGACGCGACGGTCGTTGTCTTCCACCATCACCCCGAGCAGAGCGACTTCTGCTAACTCTCGAACGATTCCTCGGATGCTGCAACTTATCCATGCAAACGTCGTGTACCTACGAAGATGCCTAAGAGAACACTTTCACTCCGCACGACGTGGTGCCGACGAGGGCCTGCTGCCCAAGCGAGCCCATCATGAACGCTCATTCCGTGTGACGCGAAGAAGATACGATATCGCGCTCATGGGTACTGTGCGGGGCCTTCTTTGTGGCAGCTAATTTCGACGGCACACCACGACGCGCGAACCCGCTCGACGTCTCAAACGCCCGTCGTCCAGGTGGCGAAAATGACTACTCTGAAGAGTCCAGATAGGCTCTGCGTATCATCTTCCAGATCCTGTACACACGACAGCGAAACGTCTTCGAGAACCTGTATTCTTGTTTGTGCTGTGCTCGAGAGTTCTCGCGACGAGCACGGACATGCGTCACAAGTTCAGGCGTCGAAGACAACAAATTCGCGCAAAAGGATGTCGGGCCGTGCAACCGTGCGCTCCTGGCAGCCAGTCTTCCATTCCCAATCATGCGCTGTTGCGTGCTATGCTATCCAGAGTAGGCAAGACGAACCTTCCCGTGAACTTCGAGTTGGTTCGAATCAGAAGGTGAGGGCAACTTGAAAGTATCTCTTTCACTGAGGTACTCACAAACGGTACAGACACTGTAATATGCTCAGAAGCGGCCGTCCGACGATCCGGATCCAGTTCGCGAAAATTAGGCTCAGTCGGTAGCAGGGATATCTTTCTGGCGAATGCCATCCAACTATAGACCTGGACGTGTCTGAATGGACGTGCGTGTTTTCCCTCCCTTTTCCCCTCGCCCGCCTATAACGCGCCGCTCCAGCTGCAATCGTCGGCGTCGAGAAGCGGTGCATATCATCGTAATGTTGCTCATGCCCTGTATGACGTCTGATGGACTTCCCCTGAATTCCGTCGGCGCTCCCACCCTACGATATGCTATTCATCTTGTTTTTCCCATGTCGACGTTGACACTTCTTTGTCGAGACGTCCTTGTACTTCTAGGTCGCTTATCGATGGTCCAGCGCCTAACACCCTGTCCACGTTATATATGGAGAACTGACTCGACCACAGAGTGTATTCCTCAGCGTCCCAACACTTTGAGCACCGCACTCTACTGCTCAGACGGTGTGTATTCATCGTTCACGTCGCGACCGGGGAACTCATTCGCAGCTTGTTTGTATAGCCGGCATTCCCAGCAGCGCCAAACGTCATATTCGATGTCCTCTACGCTCGATATACCCCCAGCAGTATCAGCACCAGTCTTCCCCAGCAGCGGCCGGAAGTTGACCAAACGACCGCTCATCACACGACCGCGCGTCGCTTCGACTTCCAATCAGCCTTTGATGCACTCTACATCGGAACCGTTCCGCGAGGGTCGTGACAAGACACCAGCAGTCGGGCGCTCGCGCTCCCAGTCGCCTTCTTCGATTCAGTCGCGTGTCAAACTACGTGTAATGACCGCAGAGGCGGGAGACAATGCGAACTTTGTTCCCCTTTTGGCGCGATCTTCAGTCTCGATATCGTCCAGCGACAAGCACTTGTCCCCATATACGCGATCTGACAAAGCCGGGCGAAGGAGGTCAATCTCGAGCGAGCGGTCGGAAGACTATTCCAGGACGAGAGAGGTTTGCACGCCCTTCGCTCTCTACTCCTCGCGTCTGGGCTTGACGTGTGCATCCCGTAGCGCGTTTCTCAGGCAATAGGGACAGTCCTGGGAACCGCGTCTGGCGTCGCTCGCGACGTCTTGACCGCTGGGGTGGACCTCCTACAGTTCGCACCCATACCGGCCTTAGGCATAGCCGGTTCAATCCTTGTGAGCATATGGCAAGCCATTGAAACTATCGAAGTATGTCTCTGTTTATATCATCGTTTCCTGGCTATATGTACTGACGTGATGCAGGCGAATGACACATCATGTCTGCGCCTCGCTGAACGATGTGCGGAGACGCTCATGGCCGTTCATCACCTGGCGCAGCCAGATGTGGCCCTTGAACTCGAAGAACCAGTGCAGAAGCTTCAAGAGTACGGACGGCATCTTTGTGCCTAATACATCAGGCGCTGATGCACTCTCAGAGCGTTCACCCAGATCCAGACCGTCTTAGAAAGGCAGTCCCAGCGCCCATTCTTTCACCGGTACCTCAAGCGCGAGGAAATGCGACGTAGTATCGGACACTGTGAGACTTCTCTCGGAGATGCATTGGGGCTCTTCATGGTATGTTCGACAAAGTCGATTCTGCCATATGTACCGTTGACGAGGTCTCCCAGATCAAGATCCAGCTGCACACACTGAGAGCCGTCAATGGAGCTAGAAATCGACGTCTCAGTCAAGCGAACTCGACGTACATGTCGGACGTCGACAGCGTATACTCTTTCAACCCTGGGATGCCTCGATCGGCGGCCTGGAATAACGCGCAAACCTCCCTGGGCCCGGATGCTACCCTCGCGGATGGTGGCCACAGTGCGCCATTGGACATGTCAGCGATGCACCTTGCAGGGGCGATGGCCTTCCCGGAAGCTCTCACAGCGTCTGAAGATGCGGACGCGTTTGAGCGGGAGTTGATGGAGTCCGGTGCCCGCGCTCTCAAGCGCTTGAGCGATATCATGAGCGATCTTAGTGTGTCGAGTTGGACGGTCACAGAGTGTGGCACAGAGAGAGACTACTCGGACGAGGATATCTTCATCTCGCCGTCACCTGGACGAGCGTCCCACATCGCGCCCTGGGATTCACCCAGGGCGGTTGGACCATCCCTTCACCCGACATCGTCGCCCAAATCCGAGCACTTCCACGAACCTGAAACCTTGCTCGAAGACTGCGAAGTCCCACTTCTCAATATATGCGACGTGCCCGTCTCGCCGCCGTACGACCTGTCGGCGGACGTTGAATCCCTGAATCTGGCGGAGACGGTGATGCAAGCTGAAGTTCAGGTCGAAGATGGCGTCCCACCTCCCATATGGCCTCCCCTTGATTTGGCCTTGCAAGAACAGGATATTGATGTGCTTGGCTTTCGATCCCGGTGTATGGCATGTGAGTCTACGAGCTTTCATCTACCGCTGTCTGTTTCGCTAAACGTAACGACCGGCCTACAGACGGGAGCGCAGTACATCCAGATACATTGGACGTTGCACTCGAAGTGAATCCAATACTCGCATTCGGCCACCGCTCCGATGACACGGATGACAAGTATCTCATTTGGAACCTCCTTACACCGTCATCTGAGGCTCACATGTCCACACACCCAACCCGACGATGGTTCGAGGAGCGGATTGAGCCGGCGACTTTCCCGCCCGTCACTCACTTATATGTCCTTTCCTCGTCATTTCCTTGGGCTATCTTCGTATCGGCGAGCACACTGGAGTTCGGAGTGAGCTGCGGCGACGTTATTGGCGCCCTGAGCGGTGTGCTGCAATCTGCTCTACCGCCCTCTATGTGGGGCGAGAAGGGGCAACCTCAACGTCGCGCACTCAAGCGCGCATATCGTGCAAACCGGTCGAACGAAGTGGGCTCTCTTGGGCATAAACTGGGAGAAGGAATGCGCTTCGCCGACATGCTAGGCTCTGCCGTTATGTTCAACGGGCTGTACTCGCTTTATGAGAAAGAGAATGGCCCACCCGTACCGGGTGTGCTCGCTGTGTACTGTAACTAGATGAACTACATGTACATATATCTGCCCTCTTTCGGCCACATGCGCTGTAACAAGAGAATGAGGGTCCGTAAGAACTTAGAGGACGGCGCGCCAGACACTACGAGTCCTTCCAAAACCGAGCGCACTGTCGTGAGCGACGACCCATTCTGTTTTTCGCATCTACTCTATGGAATAGCAAATACCGATTAAAGTCAGGTGACCGTGTTTCGAACCACGTCTCCGCGGTTCCGCCGGCGTGGCCGACTTGTGGCCCCGCCATCACTTGCCTTATGCCTTCGTCCTCCTCTCAGAAGAAGCTTCGCATAGCGTTCGTACATCCCGACCTAGGAATCGGTACGTCCTCTTGCATGCGCCGGCGGCGCGCGCTCATTGGTCTGCAGGCGGTGCCGAGCGGCTGGTTGTTGACGCTGCGCTCGGTCTACAGAATCTCGGGCATCACGTCGAGATATTCACATCGCATCATGACCCAGCGCACTGTTTCGACGAAACGCGAGATGGAACTTTGAAAGTCCACGCCATACATCCGCCTCTCCCTCGTGCAATCGCGGGAAAACTACATATTCTGCTCGCCCACCTTGCACAGCTACATCTCACGACTTACCTACTACGGGGGAACTTCGACGTGTTCTTCGTCGACCAACTGTCGACATGCGTCCCGTTCTTGCGATCTATTGGGCGGACACCTGTGGTCTTCTACTGCCACTTTCCGGATAAACTCCTCGCGCACGGCGCGTTCGTCGACGGACCAGCAGGAACCGCGCAGATGCGGAAGAAGGGGAACCTGCTGAAACGCGCGTATCGAGTTCCGATGGACTGGTTGGAAGAGATAACGACTTCCGCCGCCGACGTCATACTCGCGAATTCTCGGTTCACGGCTCGGGTGTTCAAGGCGTACTTTCCTAGTATCAAGACGGAGCCGACGGTGGTATATCCCGGTGTCAACCTTGCGACATATGCGCCATTGTCAGCTGTGGCAATGCAGGATGCAGACGTGCAGGATGTTCAATCGTATGTGCATTCATCCCTATGCATATGGGTGCCAGTACTGACCATCCAATAGTGAGCGGCCGACGTTTTTATCAATCAACCGCTTCGAGTCGAAGAAGAATGTAGCGCTCGCTCTAGCCGCCTTCGCCGTTCTCCGAGCCCGGCGGCCCTCCGACACCTCGGACTACCGCCTCGTCTTAGCTGGCGGTTACGACCCGCGCGTAGGAGAGAACATTCGCACGTTAGCTGCCCTTACATCTCAAGCAACGACACTCTCGCTATCATACATTATCACCAAGCCTACTTCGTCGCCTGTCGAACTCCCTTCCTTCCCAGCACCAGAGGGCGGGAAACAGCCGGACGTGGTGTTCTTATTGAACTTCAGCACCGCGCAACGTGCAGCTCTGCTTAACGCGTCAAGTACGGTGGCTCTGCTCTATACGCCAACGAATGAACACTTCGGCATCGGTCCGGTGGAAGGCATGGCGTGCGGCCTGCCAGTTATTGCTACAAACACCGGCGGGCCGACAGAATCCGTAGTAGCGTCTCCGACGTCAGAGCGCACAGGTTGGCTACGTGCGGCAGAGCCGGGCGAGTGGGCGGAAGCGCTGGAGGAATGCGTCGACCTGAGTGTAGAGGAGAGAGCTGGCTTTGCGAAGAGGGGAAGGGCGAGGGCGAAGGAGCTGTTTGGGATGGACGCAATGGCTGTCAGCCTTGAGACGGCAGTACAGGATGCAGCAGCGCGAGGGCCGTTGGAGCGGTCGTGGGAACTTTTCGCGTGGATGCTTGTACCGTTCGTGGCGTTGATGGGCATCATGTACGAGGTGTTCCAATTCTACTTGTTGACTTACTTATAAGGACATGTATACATGATACACTACCATTTTGTACTACTCTTCATTGGATTCTTATACTTCAACCCGCAACATTCAGCTGTTGTCCGTATCGTTGCCATCATCTAGACTCTCAGCCTCAACCTCAACCTCAACCTCGTCATCTGTGAAATCCACCTGCAGAACTTCGTCTTCTGCGTTCACGTCGTCCTCTCCTCCCGTATCCGAGTCGATCCTCTCCCCTCCGTCATCATCATCATCGTTGATGGCAACTGTTGGGTGGACTAGATGGACCTCCTGCACAAGATTTGCCCAGGTTTCCAACCACGCCTTACTGATTCGGGTGTTAGATATCCTTAGGGTGTGAACAGGCATCCCAGCGGTGATGCGTGCCTCAAGAACCTCATTCAGAATGACGTTCAACTCGGTCTCCTCGTCTTCGAACCAACGCAAAAGACGGACGTTATCCAGCGAGAGCGTTCGCAGCGAAGGCATACATCGTCGCGTATCTTGGAACTCGCTTGGATTGGCGGTCATTCGAGGGGATAGCTGATCGAAAGATGCGGTGTTGAATAGTCGCGCTAGTTGATGAGTTCTGAAGGGTCTCAATAGCGGTGACAAGCCGCAGATTTGCAGGGTTTCGATTGAATTGAAGTAAACGCACGCTGTCTCGACAACCCATGCAACGCTATCATCGAATCCTGGCGAGGGGAGCCATTCTGCGAGTGAAAGAGCCTTGACTGGCTCTCGCGGGATCAATCCAATAATCGAGTCAAGCTGTTCGGAGGGGAGTCGAAACGTCAACGCAGGTCCTGAATCGATGCTAAAGCTCTCGCGGTTGCGCCGATTGAGAACTCGGCACCCGCTGGAGGGATATGCAGGAGGGATGCCGACACGCAAATAGACCCGTATCATATCATCCAATGGCTCATCTCCGCCCGTGTCTCCTATTTGGACGTAGTCATATGCAGGAATGCGAGGCTTGGAGAAGTGATCCTTTATAAGGGAGGGAAGAAGACATTCTTCGTAAGCGTCCAACTCCTCGCCGTCGATGCGGATAGAGCAAGCAGGGGGGATATTGAGAGACGACCAGAAAATCAGACATCGAGATAGCGCATCCGCCACAAAGAGAAGCCCGAGTCTGGACAGCGTGATGCGCTTCTCCGCTGGCCCGGGAGCGTTGACACTGGCGCTATCGGCGATCGGTATGGCTCGCCATAGCACGAGTTCCTCCAGCATTGGCATATTATCCAGACAGTGCAACATGTCCACAAATGTATAATCAGACCGCTGCGCGTCATCAAAGATATCCAAGATCAACGACCGGAGAGAAATGGTAGATGGGATGCACCAAGGCATCCGCATGCCGACCATGGCGAGGCTCGTCAACATCGGCGCTCGTTGCGCAAGGAATTGAGTGTCTAGTACGGGCCATTCGGGCTCGGCATCTTCGGCATGTTCTGCAATAACCAAGTAGTATTCGTACACTTGAAGACTCAGGGTACGCAGTTCAGGCGCGTTTTCGCTGAAGAGCGTCTGCAGCCATGAATAGGCATGCGAGCCGATGCGATCGATATCAAGTGTCCGTGCTCGTCTGAAGATGGACGCGCCCAAAGCGAGTCGCCTGACAGTCCCATCTCCCGGATTCGATTCCCAGCCGACACTGCCTCTGATGGTGAACAATGCGTCGCGCGCCCTGGTAAGGAAGACGGCCCATGGGGTATCGCGATCGAGAGATAGCGTAGTCCAAAGAGTGGCATGATCAATGGCCACCGCGCGAAAGCGCCGCGTAACGTGTGTAACGGAGACCCAGCCCAGGTCATAGTCGCTCAACCGGATAGGGTGAAGGGGAACCAATAACTCGAAGATGTATGCAAGAATCTCGTCCGGGACCATGTAAATCGGAGAAAACGCGTTCAGGCGGGCTTTAGCGTCGGCAAAAATATGGCCTAGAGCCTCAACTTCCTCTGCCCAAGCAGTCCGGATGGTGGGTATACATGGCGCTCGTCCTTCGTAGGCCTCTGGCCAAAACTCAGACGCGCTTGCTCTGTGGCAGGACGAGAATATTAGACCGACGTGAAGCTATTGCGGCACTAGACCACTCACCGATCATCTTTAGCGATCGCACTCTCTTTGCCAAACGTATCCATAGGTGGAATATCTTCCAGGTCGAATCTCTTGCGATGGTGGTGGTGGTAGTCTAGAGCAAGGGTGGCGTTTGCGCCCACGGTGCCACTTGGCGCGGGTCTTCCAGCTTGCCTCCGACCATCATGTCGACACCCGTTCGGGCCCCGAAATTCAGCAGTCTCTCATCCGACACGGCCATCGTATCCCATAGGAACCACTATGTCTGAGTCTAGATAGGCGATGCGGTGTGCAAGCATTGGCCATAGCGCAGTGACAATGCCCGGTGCTTTGCAACGGTCCTGTATTGTGGTCTCTCGGCGTTCAGCATGTCCCTCCCCATCTGTGGACTCGATGAACGGGCGATTTTTGATCGCGTATGCAGCATCCGGTGTGTGGTTACTGCGAGACTGTATTTGTTACGGCCCACGTCGCTCATGATCTGTGATCTTTTGGCGACCAACTCAACCACGTCTGGGAGAGCATATATAGTTGAGACGACTGACGCTCTTTCACTCATCTACCGCATCTCCCTCTATCGCCAACACCCAAACCTTGCCTACGCACGACACCAACATGCAGCGGAAAACCAACTCGCAACAGAGCAGCGTATTGGACACCCCCCGCAACGACAATATCCTCAGCATAAGCCACACATCCCGACGCGCACTACGACGCGATCAGCACCCATCCAATCTGGAACCTATACCCCTCTACGATGTCGGTTACAACTTGCTGGAATATTGGAAGCCCCCAGTGGTCGCATTCTTTGACCAGTTCTCCGCGCCCGGTGCCGCTCCGTTCCAACTCGACATCTTCTGGATTGAATCCAATATTTGCATCGTTTGCTCGCAGGAGGCGCTCGAGAAGCTCGAGAGAGCAACAACCGCACAGATGTCGCCGCCGCGCGCACCGATGAGGTTGCCCTCCCTCAACCTCTTTACCTATCCTTCTCCCGAAGGCCCTCGCGCAAAATACTCGGGTTTGTTCGAGTTTGCTAGGAATCGCCAAGTTGTGCGTCTTCCACGAACACGCGATGGTGTCGACGCAGATAAGAACGCGTCTCTCGAGGTCTTGCGTACCGCCTGTCGGTCGAAGCACAACTGGGCTCTCACTCCCGGAATGGAGGAACTTCTTAAAGGGGAGGAGACCTTCGTGGATGTTGTGCGTCTGGACTACAAGGGAGAGGATCAAGATGTGTTGAGGCGGATGATGGGACAGCAACTTCAAGTCGGATGGCTTGAGCCCAAGCCATACGTGGCCTTCTAGAACGTAGATTGCTTGCATCTTCACTTATCATATAATCTATGTGCAATGCCATCATCTCAGACATTGAGCCGAGCCTCAAGAAATTATCTGTAACAATTGAGCATCACTATAGAAGTGACCGGCAAATCGGCCCGAATCACGGACACGCCGGCGCGACGCGTGCATCGCCGAACTGTGCACCAGACGCGTCCGGCGCGTACCGAACTTACATCTCTACCACCACCACCACCCAGGCGTTTCCTTACTCCCTGTCCCTCCTCCCTCCTCTCTAGTGCCTCGTCATGGCTACCGTGAAGATTGGTACCCTACTCATCCGCGTATGCCCTCTCACACCTCGCGTCCGCTCGCCGCTTAGGCTGATCCAGGCTGAAGACACTCGCGAAACCGATTAGTAACCAGATAAAGGCACAAGTCAAGAAGTACGTTGCATACTTGCCCACACCTTCCACGCGACTAAGGAGCAACTAGCCATGAGAGGTTCCGCAAGATGTGCGTTTCGCTAGCACAGACCATGCACCGGTCCGAGATTCGACTACGAACGAAGCTCCTCGGCGAACCTGCACGCAATGTGCGTCCACTTTCTGAAGCGAAGTACGTTTCCGTCTCCTTATACTATATCCTCTGATACTGAACTTGCGAAGAGCGATAGACAATGGCGCGAACTTCCTGGCAGAGGGCTTTCTCTTCAGTGTAGCGGCAGGACTCATCGTCGCGGAATCCTGGCGCAGTAGCCGAAGCGAAAGCAAGCGGAGGGAGGGTGTTGCAGACTCTCTTGATGACTTGCGCGTCAGGTTGGATTCCATCGAAGCGCGTGCAGTCGAATGGGAGGAGCGGGCTCGGGTTGCTCAGGATCGGTGTGTAGGCTTCGTACTCGCACTCGAGCACACTTTGACCTATTGCATTTCATGACAGACAAGACGAACTGACTGGGATACTGGAACGGATAGTCACTATCGGGATGCGTGGAGGGTGGCTACAGTTGCCAGACACACCTCTGGCAGCACCCAGACGATCGTCGCCGCTAGCACTCCCACCAATACCTTCAGGTTCCGACTCGGATGTTCCCAGCACCCGTCCCGCCACGAGTCAGAACCTGCCTCCGACGCCTGACTCCGCATAGTACGGAGTCTTTGTACTTTGCTAATCTACCTGCTGGTATCCATAACTCATCACGTATCCCCTATTCGTAGCCCTTGATGCCAAATTTTGATTAGAATGCCCCAGATCCTACGAATAGACTGGATAGTTCAGCCTGAATGCGCAGAACTCCGCAACTTCACTATGCAACGCATGGAAGACTCGGCATGCGGAGACCGGTATTCATTCAAATAACAGGTGTTTATACAGGAGCCAGTGTCTCTATGACAGTTCTTTGCTGTTCGCTCTAATCGAAGTGCAGCACCTCGACTTTGGTTTCCTCCCCGTATCGCTCGTCCGGCCAGACAGTCTCGGGGACATCAAGATAGATGGGTTTCTGATTGCCGGGTCGCACGATCATGATGTGGTCCCCTTGCTGTAAGAGCCACTTCTCTTCCCCGGGTTCGACTTGGACATGCCCCATTTGTCGCTCGAGAGATGCAAGCGGTTCATGGCCTCCCGTCAGGTGCCATGGCCTCATCCTGTCTTCCACCCTCCAGATCTGCCATCCCTCCGGCGTCTCGATTGGTACGGCCTGCTGGTCTTTCATGACCACGAAGTCGAGCTGGACCTCTCGACGGATCTCACCCCAGAAGTCCCACCAGAGACGGACGCACTCGCCATTCCTCTCTCCGGGCACGGGCTTGACGATACTTTGAACGTCGAAACCTCCCTGATGCGGCTTCACCTGAGCGCACGTGAGTGGCATATACAAGATTGAGACTGTTGAGACTGGAGAGATGTCGACTTACCCCCGTAACACAGAACTCCTGGTCCATGATCGCGGTCGCCGTTTCTTCGAGATCCTTCAACTTTGCCTCATCCATAGAGCCATCTGTGGCCGCATGTACCTCGTTCTTCAAGCACTCCACAAACTGATCATGGGTATTCCAATCCTCTGGCCCGGCATTGTCAAATCGCGGGCGCGAGCCCTGCCACAGAAGAAGGCGTGCAATGTCACAGTTCACGTTCGAGTGTTCCAGCGCGTCCATCTCGATAGCCGGGTATGTACGTGCTACCCATTTGTCGACGAACTCCCTGAACAAGGGCACTTGCATACCCCGGGACGAGAGTCTGTTGAGTAAGGCCCTGCGATCGCAATCTTGCATGTGTTGTTCTCGGTGGAAGTTGTAGCTTTCGACGATGCGACGAGCTCGCACAGTCTCCGAGTCCTCGTAGAGCAAAGGTATAGTATCCTCGGCACCGTCCTCAACCTCGATCGCGACACCAAGCTCATCTTCTTCTTCCAGGGATGGACCGTCGGACATGTGTTCGCGGCGAGAGGGCGCCATATGGCGAGATACGTTCGGTGATGAAGGTGGTGGAGAGGGAAGCGCTGAAGTTGCATCCCTCGGGCTTGAGTTGGGCGTTCTCATTCTGATCGTCGTGTGAGGGGCTCAGCTGATGGTGAGTGATCTGCGTTGGTTTGCGCCTGTATCAGCAGCAAGTTGATGAGCACTCGTCGCAGGCATCCTGCGCCTTATATAGGTTGCCATGGGAGGGGGGGGGTTGTTAGAGTGTGAAGAGAATGATTCAAAATGATGCATCACACAGTGGATGAACGCGGTTCACTGCACGATATCGTATGCGCAAAACGTGTCAGGCGGTGTCGTTGACTCCGTATGGGGTTCTCAGGTGCAGCTCTGAGCTTGTTTCACCTAGCAACCTTTCTTGTCGGTGGTCGATGCGCAGTCAGAACAAGACACTTGTAGTCAAAGAAACCTTTTGTTTGGAATGTGTCTGGGGCGCCTTTGTTTTCAGCTGGATGCACAATGTCATCCTTGTCGCGCACGGCCACTGAACCAGCATAGCCAGAAGAACAATCTTGACGATACATCAATGCTTGTCCGGCTGAGCGAACAAGCCTCTCAGGCTGAGGGCCGTTGTTTCGATTGTTCTCAGATGAGTATTTAACCTCCATATTTCGATCTGAGATCGTTAGCGACG